TGGTAACTGCTGGAAACCATTTTCCCTCCAAACGCTTGAATTTCAAACTGCTCCACTCTGAACCATCGAACACTTTCGTCGAGAGACATCTTCGACGAGAAACTCCTTCGACGTCGAAGGCAACCAACTTCTCCCTTGGAAGAAATCTTCTAAGTACTTTGCCATCTTTCGACGGGCATTTCGACAGACTTAGCCAGTCGAAAACATCCTTCAGCTTTAATGGCTGACATCAATAAAACAAGGGTGTCGAATTTAGGAGCCAACACTCCCTAAGCCATCATTACTGTTTCCAAGAGCCACGCCACATGTCTGGCAAGTGTATCATCCTCTCCCCGCGAGTCCTCCTTGAATACACTTCGACCGCTGCACGAAGCAAAATCATGAATCGACGACGTTCTCCATCCACGGTAGAAAAACTCCATGTCGGGCAGCGAACCTCGCGAAGGGGAAAACTTGAATCAAGTCTTAACTCCTTCACTAGGAGCAAGGACTTGGGGGGATCCTATTCTGGAGTGGGCCTTCCCTTGGCCCAACTCCCAATGAGGCCCAATCCAAACGTGCCAACCTGCACCGCTGACCGGTATTATCCTCGAACATGGCGGGAAACTACTAACCTTTTCCTGCAAGGAGACAACCTCACCACGCAGGGACAACACTTGAACATACTGAGGACGACCACACCCCAACCATAAAGGCCTTGTCGACCAGGACTGTTTCCCTTTTGCGCTCGCGGGGACCATCCCTAACGAGCAGGCACTCCTCCCGAGCATCTTCCTCGTAGGGCTGACTACCAACGTCTTCGGATATTACAGAGTTTTCGTGGTCCTGGAAAGATCGCGTCCATATCCTCATGATCTTGCAGAGGACGTCATTCAGGTAGGGGGCCACGTGCGGGTCCCCACTACTAACATAGAATCTGGAAGTCTCTACGTTGGGCCTGTTTGATCAGCCTAGTAAAGAGACCTTGGCCCAGCGCATGGGGCTATAAATACTCTCTCTTCCGAGAGGGTCAGGTATTCAACACTTTCTAACTCTTACACTTGCTTGCTCATTCCGCAACTTACTTTGCCATCGGAGTGTGTTGCAGGTACCCCCATCTCATTCAACTTCTACACGAGCTATCTGTGACGGTCCATTCTGATTCGGTAAGATCATATAGTAAGAATCATTTGAATAAGAAATACAAGAATGTATATTTGTCATTATTTTAGAGGATAAATTTATATTTATTTTAAATTTAATTTCCTTTTTAATAGGAATCATTAGATAGTGATTATAATGAATGATTGAATTTAATTATTGTCTTTCTTGTTTTCATACTTTGTTATCAATAAGCATTTTCCTTTTAGAGTGAGTAATGTTATATAGTAAGAATCATTTGAATAAAAAATGCAACAATATATATATTTGTCATTGTTTAACGGATAAACTTATATTTATTTTATACATCTAACATATTAATTAGAAATTACTATTACATATTAGGTATAAATTTAAAGTTTACAAGACCCACACAGCATAGAATCTCCCCTTTATTTTTTAAATCTCTTCCCTTTGAGTTTGATTTTGTAAATATATTTTATTATTATTATTATTATTAATAATAATAATAAAATATATGTAATACTAGCTAATTTATGGACAAAAATATATTATTTCATTCACTAAAACACAAAAAATTCATATAATTGTAAGAGTACATTAGCCTTTACAATTATTTACTATCACAATTAATAAATATTGTTGTTACACAAATTATTTATAAAAAAATATTGAGAATCTTTGTTTTTAATATAATATTTATTTGTGATTTCATATTTACGTATTTTGAAAAAGTAGATAATGAATTGATATAAAAATTATAGTAAACAAATAATTACAATTTCTAGTAAGTCTATTTTTTTAGTTGCTAAGTACCTATATCAATTATATTTATTGAGATCTTCATAGAAAATAAATAATATATCGATTTTGTCATATAAAGTTGACACCAATGCCGGCTATACATCAAGTTAGATTGTAGGTTAATTTTGAAATTTATGGAAAAAATGGAATAAAGAGAAAATATCTTATTAAATTAAATCAAAATAAGTTATAATTAATGAATAGATATGGAGTGATGTTATAGACTGTGGTAATAATTAAATCAATTTAAAAAATTCACAATAAGATGGATTCGTAAAAATAATAGAATATAAAAGCAAGACATGAATTTAGAAAAAAACTTGTTCCAAGACCAGAAACATTTGACAATAATAGTGCATAAACATCAACTAAAATTAAAATGAATCATTTTATATATCTACAATTTCATGGTACCAATTAACTTTGACCCTAAATTCATATTTCTTTAAGGGTTCTAACTAATATTTATCATTCTTAAAATATAACAAAAGTAGATTAATAGCAGATAATTTTGAATACATAAATATAGCAGATTAATAATAACATTTGTTGAGATGAGAATGCAATTTGTATATCTGTTTTTTCTTTCAAATCATAAGCTCATTAGAACGTATATAAATAGGTATGCAACGTTTCTTAATTTAAACATTGAACTTAATATATAAATCATACCTATATTGTAAAATTACATTACTTGCTAATGAATATCATAACTAAAAATTACACTACTTTCGGAAGAAAAAAAAAACATTTATTGATACACCTTCAAAACAAAAACATGAACAAAATGAAAAAATACATTAAGAAATACTCAGCGGATGATAAAGAAGCTTATGCAATTATAACGGGAAATCTGTCGAAGTTCTGAATTCTAATGTGATTGAAGCAAATATCAAAATATGCAAACTGTCATACATTAAGATCCTTCATTGAGATCGATTTTCACATCTCGGTGACATCCTTTGTTTCAGCCGCCGTAGATAATTCTGAATCTGTAACTAATTCAAATCCAAAATTATGAATTTGTAAGAGTGTGTGTAGCTTGACCTTTTCTTTTTCCCTCCTTTCCAGCTGCGGCATCAGCTATCACACACATGCAACTGCTGAAAACTCACCAAAGTCTATGATGAATTTCTACCACGATGATAATTTAAATTATGAGACAAACAAAAAAAGAAGACAAGACATGCAAAGTTTCTCTCTGCTCACAAACTGTGAAAACTTTCTTATTCACTTTGCAACTGCAAAATACTGTGAATGACTTACTTGCTTACAAAAAAATGGGCTACTCCCTCTATTTATAACTAGGCTTACACCCTAAGCCCAAAGCTCAAAATATTTATTTTGTTACTAAATCAAATCTAATATATTCTAGACTTAAATCAAATCTATTTAAATCTAAAACAAATTTAATCTTTTCGCCACATAGTTTCGACACACTAAATTACAATTTAACAACAACAAAATCTCAAAAGAATATGTACAGTCTATTGGTTGTACAAAATCCATTAACATATATAGTAAGAAAATCGTAGTACTCAAACAAAAAGTGCATAAACCACAATACCTACTTTTTCACATAACCTGTCGAAGTCTTTCGACACATACTCTCCACCCCCATCAGTTCTCAAAACTTTGAGTTTTCGACCACTTTGTCTTTCGATCATAGACTTAAACTTGACAAATACCTTGATCACTTCACTTTTCTTCTTGATCAGGTAAGTCCATAGCTTTTAACTGAAATCATCTATGAATGTAACAAAGTATTTGTTACCTCCCATCGAATCCACCTGGATTGGTCCACATACATCAGAGTATATGACTTCAAGAATAGTCTTTGATCTGCTTCCTGCATCCTTGCTGAAGCTATTCTTGTGCTGCTTCGCCTGCACACATTCCTCACATACTTCGTTTGAAATGTCAATTTCAGGAAATCCTGAAACCATATTTTTTCTCTTCAAGTCTCTGATGTCTCTGAAGTTGAGATGGCCTAGTCTATAATTCCATATCCATTCATCTCTGCTAGCTGCAGTCGAAAGGCACTTGTGCTCCATCACATTTAGTTCAATCTTGAAGCACTACGCCAAATAAGCTATTTAATAGCGCTTTTTTTTGTTTTTGATAGCGCTTAAAAGTGCTATTAACCGCGCCACTATTGTAAATATTTCTTATTTAATAGCACTTTAAAAGCGCTATTAAAATACCAATTTATAATAGCGTTTTAATTAAAGTGCTATCAAAGTCAGTATTTTGCATGTTTTTTGTTTGTTTTTTTATAGCACTTTAAACAAAAAGCGCTAATATATAACATATGTTTGATAGCGCTTTCAAATAAAGTGCTAATAAATGGTACATATTTGGTACAATATTTTTAATAAGTACAGTACAATATTTTTTCTTACACAATCATTTTTTTTGGTGTAAATATAAAATAACTATATTCAATTCAACACAAATAACGCTTTAAGTTACTCATTGCATATATATTATGATCCATCAAATACCAAATAACATTTTAAATTACCAAATCCTATTGTTTCCAAATATCATAACATATAGAATATTAAGAGGGCGTTTGCATAGCCAAATTTGTAGATGCCCATCTATGAGTACTTCAATCCAAATCCAAAAACATACAATCAAATTCTCTAAACAAAACACCAAAAAAATAAGAAAGGATAACAAAACAATCCCATGTAGTAACCACCTTCATGATCCAAAAGCGTTGAACTCATAGATACAATCACTAATTAGGCAAAATAATTGCTTCTTGTTTTCCTGTATCATAGAAGGAATATTGATTATGTATTGTACAATAAAAACTAATTCAACATATAAAGAATAATCAAACATTTAATATGGGTCTAACAAGAAGCGCATAAAATAAGGAATGATTATTATAAACTAATAACAATAAATCGATATAACTAATGCAATAATTGAACTAATTAAGTCTAACAAGAACATGACTTGTAAATATATAGACCACAATTTCCATTATTAGATGCATATAAACACTAAACAGAATATAATTCAAATTCTCAAAATATACATAAACACTTAATTGTGTGTAACTTTCTTTTCATGATCCAGAACTAGATATCAAACACCTTACAATTGTTACTACGAATATTTGCTTTTGAACAAAGGAAGAAGAAAGAAGATGTGTATATTGAAATATGCCAAAAGCTGTAAAAAAACACATTTCAAAAGAAAGACAACATGAGAGATAGAGAATGTATAAACAAAAAGAAGGGAAATAATGATAGTAATATTGTTAATACCTATGCCAAAACCAGTAATTTTCGCTGGTTTCAAGTGTCCGGCTTAATATTTCCAGTGACAGTGCAGAAAAACCAGCTAATGCAAAAGGCCAGTGATACCGTCTTAGAAGTGTTCCAATAAGATTACATATCCATCGCTTTATCACCTGTAAACTGCAGATAAGGTTCATCACGAATAAGTTATATTCAGTGGAATTTAAACAAATCGCTTTTGTTTCCTGTTACGCTATGTAGTACAAAATATTGTCTAATAGTGGCTATAGCGCCGTCTAATAGTGCTATAGCAGCGCTATAGCCACTATAGCATAGCAGAATTTGAGTTAACCGCTATCAATACAGTGCCATTGATTGCTATTATGTTGCATGTAAACCAATATAATGTCGTACTAGAAACAAACTTACATCTGAGAGAAATCAAGTGAGAATCTAACTGAAAATGAAAGGGACCTATACTTTGTTGACAGCTCTATAACCCATCCAATAAGGAGACCAAGAGCACCAATCACCATCACAAGAACAACATTGGAAGACCTACATATTTCAAAATCAAATATGAAAAAGACTATTAACATTTTTATGGTGTTTGTGTATATGCGTGCGTCTGTGTGAATATTCGGTCTATTAGTTCATTTACCTGGTTGCATTTGTTACAGCCATTAGAGCAGTAAGGATAGCAACAGCTGTGTGGATTGCCCTCTTCAATACTTCATCAATGGTAGCTAGATAAAGAAAAGTGCTAATCACAGCCATGAAAGAGAGCCAGAAGTCCATGAACTGTAAGACGTTAAAGTTTAATGCACACCAAGCACCTACATCACAAGCATGATATAGTCCACTAGCAATTCCACTAGATGTGAACAAAACCCATTCTGCTAATGCCTGCATAATAAACGATGTTATGAAATTAGAACACCACCATAAAAAGGTAAACTATGGGTTGCATACAAACGTTTATCTAATGAGATGATAAGAGTTACCAAACAAGTAGAGAGAAAACCACCTTCTGCCGAAGGGCCCAATAGGCAGGAAGTATGGCCGCAGCATTTGATACAATGAGAAAAAATGATTGTCGTATATGCCCTGCACAAAATTTCAGAAACTGGATTAGGGAATAAAAATATATATGATCTGTCTTGCATGCCATTTTGTTACTACTCTACACATCAAGAATATAATGAGTTTTCACGTGATTTCATGAACTGGATTTAGAGAATTGTGTTTCATTTCAAGAACCCTGAAATTCCTCACTTGATTCCTCTCTAGTTGAACCATTTTCTGTAAATTGAAAGAGGGTTTTTCTATTCTTATGATCATTGCAATCAAAACCCTCAATAGTTACACGATTTCATTGAGAAAACTTGGAGAGTTGTGTTTCAATTTGACAAGTCTTTTGAAAGTAAGGTTAGGTCTAAAGGTGTAAACATTTACAAGCACAAAGGTTCTAACTTGACAAAAAAAACTGAAGTTAAAAAAGAAATAAAGATAAAGGACCAATAGATGAGTTTGCCTGATAAATAAGTTACACAACAAGATTAATAAAATCGATGCTTTATATAAGTAAATTTGAATACTGCAATGCAATAAAATCACTAACTTCATCAATCTGAAAAATGAACAAGCACCTTGATGTGATACAATTTCAATGCTACAGTCGATGCCTCCATGGTTTCGATCACAAGAGCAGAAGCTGAAGACAACAAAGTAAACGTTTAAAATGATGAATTCCTTAACACATTCAGGAAAAAAATAAAAAACATGCAATAATCTGATCTCCAAAAAAGAAGATTAATACAATTAGGAACAAGCAAAGGGTTTAAAATAGACCTGTATGATGTCAAGCCACTTGCATCAAAAGAAAATTTACAGTCCCCGTGAGAGGAACAACGTTTCGGGCATCGTTCAAGCGAAAGAGACATGACAGTTGGCCCTTTTGAAGGATCGTGGCTGGTATTAAGATATCTAAGACCAAAACCCCAAGTTCCTTCTCTAGCATACATAATATAGAAATTGATCTTGTCATCACTCGAATCATATAGCATGAAAAACATAGATGTGTCGCTTTTTATTGACTTGTTAACATAATGATAGTCTCGGTTAATAAGAGATGGTAGTCCACCAAATCTAATGTAAACTTCATAATTGATCTTCACGTCTGAGGATAGTTGTACATGAATATTTCCTCCGGCTGCACCACGAGGAATGTCCAAAAGTAAATAAGTCCAAATGTTACCAGGTTCGCCATTGTATGATGAGTAACTCAAAAGTGGTTCAAGAGGGAAATTGGCAGAAGTATAAGATGCTCCAACGCTAACCGGTAAATAATATGATTCAAAGGGAGTTGGACCTCTCCGTACAAATGTCTGCAGAAAACCATTCTCGTATTGTCAATAACTGATTCCAGCATAAATAAATACCTTATAGCATCAAGACATCGCATGATTCTACCCTAGGATGTTCTTGAATCACTTCAAATCAAGAAATAATAATAGAGACGATTTTTGCATAACCAAACTTAAACAACTTTTCCGATAACTTTCTAAGTGGTTAACACAGTTCAAATAGGTGGTTAATTACGTTCAGCAGATGGTTAATGGATATACTAGTTTTTTAAACTCATTAACCATCAACGTAACTTTATTAACCACGAATTTGGACGTGGTTAACCATTTGGACTTGGTACATTAACTTGATTCTACCCATTCTTCTTGTAACCTCAAATGTTGTATTGTAGTACAGGGATTAGCCTAACCTTAATTGTGGTCCAAGGATTAGCATAACCATTCTACCGATACTCAGAAATTTTAGAGCCGATTAGCATAAACTTAATTGTTATTATAAAGAAAGTTCTTTAGGTGACAACACAAAAAGGAAATTTTGGCAGAAAATATCTTGCAAAGAATACTACCTGAAGCGTGTAAATATCCATTGTACAATTTGGACCAGCCTTCCCAAGTGGGCATTGAAGCACATGAGATTCCACTGAATAGCAAACCCTTACATTGCTATCTTGTATCTTTATAGGATCGATCGGTACAATAGTAATGTACTAACGACCGATTAATGGAGAATGAATAACCAGCGGCACTTTACTTAAATCACTGGAGTAATCAAACGAAGCAACTGAAGGCATTGAACCATGGCGAACAAAGCACATTAAACTGATATCATTTGCACCAGATGTTTTGTTTGAAGGCGTGACATTGAATTTGACATCACTTGCCATAATAGTAAATTCGTCTGCCACATTTATTATATCAAAGGAGAAAATGTATGATACGCTTTCATCAGCACAAAAAGTTTTCAAACTACTTTTGCAGGTCATCAAATTTTCCAGCATTGTCTCGTTCACCGTTGTAGCTTTCAAAGTACTATTGACATTAGATGTTGTGCATGAAAATGGATAAACGGGACTGTTACAGAAATCTCCCATCATCATTGAATTTGTACATGCTTCCACAGTTATATTGGCAGCAAAGGAGTATGCTGGACCTCGGACAATCTTCAGAAGTGAAAATATTATTACTCTTAGGGTAATTTTCAGAATTATTTTGGGTAAAATATAATATTTGCATAATAAACCTTACCATCTTCGACTGTGTTCTTGTAGGTCCAATGCCATTGAAAAGACCAATGAACCAAACACCTGGAGATATCTGAACAACAATTTGTTATGGTTTCCATCTTAGGAATTACATAAGAGCAAAAGAAAAATCACTCGCAACTAAACATTCCCAAAGCAACATATATGCTAGTTATATAAAATCGATCGTGTATTGTGACCTAACATCTCAAGCTTTTTGGAGGGCTTGTCCTTGACATATCACATACCGGAAGCTTTTCGGATCATGTATTAAATAAAATATAATGCTTCAAGTAAAAAAAAAAAGCGTAAAACAATACCTGATTAGTAAAACGATTAATCCAGGTTTTCGGTTAATTAGTAAAACGATTTCATAATAGCTTGTATGTACAATCCAGGTTTATATAGATATCAACCTAAGAAAAGCTACCTAGCTCATTAAACATAACATAATCATAACTACGGTAACTGAACTGATAAAATGTACTGGGTCAGCATACTCTGTTATGTAGAAGAGGAGTGGACATCCCAGCTTTGCTAGAGACATTCAACTACTGCAAAAAAAGTAAGCTAGAGACATCCAGCTACCATACAAGTGCAAAAGCTCCCCTGGTTGCATAGGGATTTTATCAGCAACTCAATCTCAGACTTTATCCGTCTCGGGTAACTCTAACTTTGGCACTCATCAGTAGATGGACCATTTAGTATATTGATGTTAATAATGACTTTCCCAATGGGGAACCCTCGTGAAGAGGTTTACATAATGTAACTTCCCAAGTCTGAAGCACCCAATAAATTACTGGTTTGCAGACTTAACAAGGCTCTCTATGGCCTTACACAAACACCTAATGTTGAGTATGAATGGATCATATCTACCTTGTGACAGTTTGAGTTCAATTCTATCATTGTGATGTGATCCCTATTTATTCATTTTCTTTAAGGCAACCACTTGCCTCTCTGTTTTTATCTACATGGATTACACTATTATTATAGTTTCCCCTTGTTAATGATTTGATCAACAAGTTTAGTTAATAATTTGTACTTAAACACCTAGGATCTTTTTATCACTTTTTGGGAGTTGATGTCAAAGTTCAAACAGCTTCGTCATGGTGCTTTTCTACTTACTCAATCAGAATACACAAGGGATCTGCTAAACAGGGCAAAGATGGCAAAAGTCAAAGACATATCTTTTCCTTCAGTCGGTAAGTGCAAGCTAAGTATGGTACTAAACATGCCTTCGAACCTCAAGGACATTTCTTTTCCTACAGTCCATAATTGCAAGATTTATTGTGGAGGCCGTTCATCAATAGTAATTGACACTCAATTATGCAGGTTTTATTGAGGAGGCTGTTCAGTATGCTACTTTGACAAGACCATAGTAATTGACATCAACTATTTCTTTCAGAAAAGATATTTTTAGCACGCATGAATTTCAAACTTAACTGCTATCTAACAATAAATATTGCTGGAAGTGAAACTTAACTTGTTTGACATCTTTTCCACCTATACTGATTCCTGCTTCCACAATGAAAGGGTGGCCTTCAAAAACTTGAGCACTGTGTAGTAGTCACAGGAAAATAACTTTTAAGCATACTGAATTATCTATTACCAGAAAAGCCAAGCAGGTAGCTAACATTAAAAACATCTCTAATGGGCCTCTACTATAGGGCATCCATAAACCCTTCAGAACTTTTATAACACGGTCAGAAAGATCAGATAGAATTATAGACAGTAAGCTAAATGCCTGTGACGGTCCACAGCGAGAAGGATTAAAAAGAATGGTTACAAGAAGCAATAACTTGAGGTAAGAGTAAGAACTAGCAAAACTTTGATATTGAATCACAACCTGCCAGAATATGTTGCAACCATGTCTGGGTGAAGTTCTTTTATAATTCCTAATCGAAGATTGTATTCGCCAGCAGGGCTAAGACACTGATAATAGACAGTAAGGACATAAGCAATGACGTGAGTAACATAATGAAAAAGTTAATTATGGAACAATGTGTGATGAATGTAAAGAAAAGGGTTTATAATAGACTTCATAACTTACATGACCACTGGGATCATCAAATTTGGCTTGACGAAACAACTGATGAATGCGTACTAGTTGCTGTGATGTTAGAGACTTGATTGATGAAAAGGACAAGCCATAATAGGTCCTGCAAGATATTCTTACTTTTGCGGTATTAAATACGGAAGTTTTGCAATCGGGAAGGATGCTTATGGACCATGGAGGCAAGTCATAGTGCTTATTATTGAAAACTACGGTAGCAGCAGATTGTACATGATAGTTTGCGAGAAAAGCTGCACATCCTGCAGTTCCTGCAGAGAATACATGAGCCTGGAAAATCACCAAGCACATAGAGAGAATAGCGTGATTGTCACCACAAGATTAGTTTATCATAAACCAGCACATAACTAGAAGAGGGGTTAGTTTCTTCATATATGTGACAATTTACCTGCTGGTATGTTCCTAACGATGTAACAGTAGGGACCGAAGAAACCAAAGCATGCTCGCATCGCTTGATCACTTTATGAAGATCCTTCAAATGGCTATATTTCGGTTGCCTAATCAAACCTAAATCATTCATGTATGCAAGATAAGGAAGTGCTGAAATATTCCAATTATGATACATTACTTCATAATCCATTCAAATGATTGGTGAATCATGTAGAACAACAAAATAATCAAAGAATCTGGTCATAACAAACAAGCATAATTTTCTTACCATATTCATCGATTGGAGCATCGTAATCATAGCTTGTAGTAATGAACGGACCCCCAGCGGAACGTCCGAAATTAGTTCCTCCATGATACTATCAATAATCAATAATCACAAAAGTGAAAATTTGACTTCAAAGCAAGGCACCACATGTTTTGTTGCAACAAATAATAAGAACAGAACCTTATCGAAATAGGTAAAGTTATTTTTTGAAATATGATAAAGAATTCATAGGTGACCAACCATGTAGTAATTCACATATGATCCGCCCTTCTGAATGAAACGAGCAACTGCAAATGCCAGATCTTGAACTGGTCGCTGGTGAATCGGGCCACCAAATTCGGTAAACCTTACGATTACAGGATCGGAAAGAAAGAGATCAGCAGAATAAGAGGGTGAAAAGTAGACAAATGTATCTAACATCTATAGTCATAGAACAATGTATATCTTACCAGCCACTCCAAGACTCGGTCCACATGCTAGGCTTATATGGTTTATTTGGAGAGAAATCGTCACAGTAAAAGCCATTACACGAATTAATCTGTAGCGGAGAATCGGGTGGATCATATTCAACACTCGATAAGTCTATAATGAATGGTGAACCTAAAGATAGAGCTTGTGAGGGCTCACCACAGGATCTGGGGCATCAATTTCTTTGCACATCACCCAAGGGACTCCTGTTCCCAATCCAACAGCCATATATGCAGCCCAGTTTAGGTATGCATGACCAGCAGCTCCCATCGCCTTGCTCTCTGGTCCGTATTCGTTCTCAATCTAGAAAGAAATGACTTTTTGACATCAAAATTCTGATATCGAATGCATTTTCTTCAAAATATCCACACATTCAACAAGAACATCATACCTGAGAAAGAATGATTGGACCACCCTGAGACTGAAACAAGTTTTCACTCTTCATCATTTGAACAATCTTCTGAGTAAAACCTTGCATTGCAGCCTAAAACCGAAAAAAAAATTTATATCAACCAAATCATTCAAGACTCGAGTTAACACGGATAAACCAAACCAGGTCATGAAATGAAATCAAAGAAAGCTCAACCTTGAAAGGCTCATTATCGGTTCTAAAGCTTATACCCGGAACATACTTCAACCAAACAGGAATTCCCCTATACCATCAAAGAACAAAAACGTTATTGCAATTATAATCTTACATAAAAAAAAAAGAAATTAAAATGGAATTAGCAACATGCATGTACCCAAAGTTCCACTCGGCGCAAACATAAGGTCCAATGCGAAGATTAACATAGAGCCCCACTTTTTGCACTGTCTTAATGAACCTAACTAGATCATATCTTCCTTCAAAATTGTACTGCAATACAACCCATTGAGCAGAGTGAAACTGAAACGAGATTGTTAATAACGAAGAAAAGCTAAAATTCACCCGTCGACTTCGAGGAGAACTGCGAGATCTTGAGACGGGATGCCGCTGTCGTCGGTGGATGAAGCGGCGATGACGGCGGTGGTGTGGCCGGGAAAATCGAAAGGGGAAAATTGATGGGAAATCCAATTTTCTGAAAATGTGTTTTGTTTTTTTTTTTTATCAATTAATTAATTAATTCATTATTATATATAACATAGCGCTTTTTAATAAATGCTATTATATAGGTAGTCAAATAATAGCGTTTTATACAAAATGCTATCTTAAAGAAGTTTAATAATAGCGTTCTGGTACAAAGTGCTATCAAAATTACATAGTCTGTATTATATAATAGCGCCCGATTAAAAAGTGCTATTATAAATGTGTTTTTTCCATTTTAATAGCATTTTTTTTAAAAGTGCTATTAAATTAGGTGATACAAAAAATCATTTTTGGCGTAGTGAAGGTTCGATTCTGAGACATAGGAGCCTTCAAGATTAATCTCCCATTTGCATCAACGAATCTCATCATCTTATCTTTGATTGACACTTTATAGTTCTTTTCGACCAACTTCCCTATACTGAGAAAATTGCTCTTCATGCCTGGTATGTACAACACATTAGAGATTACTAACCTTTTGCCATCTTTCCTAATAATCATAACATCACCAATACCTTCACCTTCTAGGGTATTGTCATTTGCAAATTTTACCATATTTTTCATTGAGGGCTTTATATTGACAAACCAGTCTTTCCTTCCAGACATATGTGATGAGCATCAGGAGTCCAAGTACCATTGATCCTTGAATCTATCTTCATCTCTTGTTGTGACCATCAACATTATCTCTTCTTCTTCATGTTTTGCAAGCTTTGCATCACTTTCTTGATTCTTTCATTTTTCTGGACAATCACTCGAATAGTATCTATACTTCTGACAATTGTAACATTGAATGTGACTCTTATCATGTTTTCGACCACCACCTCTTCCTCTATTTGCAATACCACCTCTTTGGTTTCCTTGGTATGGTCTTCATTGATTCGACACGTTTTCTTTGATTTGGTTTCCTCTACCATTCAATTTGTTATAGCCACCTCTACCTCTATCGAATAACTTTCCTTTGCCTTTGGTTTCTTTTGCTGAATGTGCCTGCAAGACCACATCACTCTTCGATTTTCCTGCAGCTCTTTCATTCATTATTTGTTCATGAGATTCAAGCGCCCCTTAAAGCTCTTCCTTTGTCAAATTCGACAAGTCTTTCCCATCTTCTATCGCCACCACTATGTGGTCGAACTTAGGAGTTAAAGATCTCAAGATCTTCGAAACAACAACTCTTGTTGTTAACGTTTCTCCACATATCTTGATTTGATTTACTAGTTTTGAAACTCTGGTGAAGAAATAAGATATGCTTTCACTGTTTTCTATCTGAAGCAATTCATACGTCCTTTTGTGAGTTTGTAACCTCACTTCTTTCACCTTCTCAGCGCCTCAAAAAGACTTCTCAAGGATTTCCCAAGCTTCTTTTGCAGATTCTGAATCACTAACCTTTTCGAAATTGTCTGGGTTGACACATTGATGAATTATAAATAATGTTTTATAATTCAGCTTCTCAGATTATGTGTATTTCTTCTTTTCTTCTTCTGAAGCGTTTTCTCCAAGCGCTTCGACTTCATCTTTTACAAGATCCCAAAGATCTTGACACCTGAATAAGACTTTCATCTGTTTGCACAAATTCTCATAGTTGTCAATTTTCAGAATTGGTAGGGTTGCTGGATAGTTTGCATTCCCATGTGCGGGTCCCCACTACACACGTAGAATCTTGCAGTTCTTTTATTGGGTCAGTCCTGGTCGGCCCAATGAAGGGACCTTGGCCCCGCACTGGGGGCTATAAATATCCTCTATTCCTAGAGGGTCAGGTATTCATTCTCTTACCCATACACACACTTTTGCCTGCTCGTACTATCACTCATTTTAGCATCGGAGTGCCTTGCAGATACCCCCCTCCATCTCGTTCAACTTTTGCTCGGAGTCAGTCGTGACGGTCCAAGTCTGATCAGGTAAGATCATATACATACCACCATCTTTGGGATCTTGGATTGCAACACAAAAGTCTTGGAGAGGGTTTGGGTCATAAGCAAAGGAAACAGAAGATGCCAAAGCCAAGATGCTAACAAGGAGGTAAAGAACTTTCATTTTGCAACTCACTACTACTCTTTAATGGTTCTTGTTATTATGTAAGTTATTATTTGCTTGTGAGAATTGAATTATGTTGCATCTATAGCTTTCTATTTATAAGGTTAAAACATTGAAGTAGTTTGCATTTGATCTTTACCGTAATTAATTTTTTATTAAATAATGAACAATTCTTTAACAACTACCGTGCTAATTCTCCCGATCAAAGTTAATCAAATTTTAAAATGGAAACATGTGTCAAAAAAATGGAAAGTTTTGGAATAAATCAAATTAAGATCAGTTTAGACTTTGTCTTATTTCTAGATATTTAATTATCAACAATAGTTGGTGGTATGTGGAAACTTTTTGAGTAATTAATTATATGAGAATCGTAACGTCACTAATATATTTTCACAAGGCATATATAGAAGGACCATTTCTGATTTAGCCAGTCCATAAATAATTAATATTTCAGAGAAAACATTCATCCATTGACAGAAAATATTTTGGATTTTAAATGGTGGTTGAAATATATTTTCAAGGTGGTATGAATTTATTCATTGTGTGGTGTATCTTTCTTCACGGTTGTTAAGATTTTTCATTATCGTTAAGGGATCAAGGGAGTAGCCCAATAGGTGTGTTTCAGTAGTATTTATTTCCCCTTTGGTATAATATTTTGAATATATGTTTCAAGTAGATTTTTTTTTGTTGACTTGGTCCTCAAGTAAATAATCGTGGGTAAACCTGCAGGTAAGATTCAAAGGTAATCTGCAAGTAAAAACAGTAGGAAAATTTGTAGATAAATCAAATAGATCTGATAAATCTGTAAGAAATAATTGTAGAAAAATCCGCAAGAAACAAATCGCAGTTATGTTCGCAGGAAAAACACTAGGTAATTTGAAGGTAAACCTGATGTTCTATAGAAAAATATGCAAGAAATAATCGTAGGTAAATCCGCTGGGTTAGACAGTAGGAAAATTTGCAGAAAAATCTCAAGAAAATATTTGTAGGAAGATCCGCAAGAAAAGGCCGTAGGAACATCCGCAAGAATCAGTTGTAGGTAAATCCGCAAGAAAAATTCGTAGGTAAATACTCAAGTAAGCTCTCTGCTAATAAACGTAGCTAACTCCACAAGTTAAAGCATTGGTAAACCCTATAGGTAATAATCGCCTGTAAATCCGCAGGTAGTAATAGTAGGTAAATCCAAAAGTATTATATTTTCAAAATTTAAATAAACATAGCAGTTAACCAGTTTAATATCAAAGATACATGTTTCAAATCATAAACATAACAGTGAGTATCTATGCGAAAAGATTTTAGTCTACAACCACAATTTGAAACAAATAAACTTTGTCAAGTAGGAATCAACATCAACAGTCAGTCTGCTGCTCAGCACACCCGACACCTTCTCCAATTTCTTAATCTATCGCTTGATCTTATGTGACACTCATGTACCCATAAACATATGAGCAAGTATAAAAAAAATTAGCACCGCTTATAAATAAAGAGCAACTTAGATATTTACAACATAGATATTTGATCTCGGCTTGAACTCATTGGATTTTTTATTTTCAGTATTACTGGGTTTAATACTGGGTTGTTTTATATATTATAGAACACATAGATAGAGTGAGAAAAAAATGAATTAAATATGAAATAATAGTAATAATAATTTATAGTGAAAAGAATGCCTCTTGCAACTGTATTATTGCTCTTGTTTCAAAAGTAGCATTCCCATGTATTACTCCATTTTATGCTTGGGGTTTGCTTACTAGCTCCCTCAAGATAAATGCATGGCTTGTTATATGAAATATATACTTGCTTTCTAAATACTACACTATATAATGCAGCTTGCATCAAATAATTGTACCAAAAATAAGAATATTGGAAATCCTTTTAAAAAAATAATTGATATATCTTTACTAGGGTAAATATTTCTTACCTTTTATACATCATTAAAAATGTACAAATGAAAACATATAAGAAGAAGATTTAGACAGTAGATGTGCTTTAAGTAACAAGATGGATTGTTCGTTTTTTTTAACAAAGATTTCATTGAAAGAGTACTAGCGGTACTAAACCCCGATGACAAAGAGTGAAAAGTCCCTAATAAAAGAGACATTACCAAGCAACAACAACTTCAACAAGGAAAAGAATAGGATCTTTACAAAAATCATAAATGTTACGGTTGGAGTTAGAAATATCTTTTATGAAAGACCATTTCTAAGGCTTCAACTTAATGGACCAAACCAAATTTAACACGCTGCATACACTGTCTTTAAATAGGATGTCGTTCCTATGACACCAAATACTCCAAGCCACTGCCAACCAGAATGTTCCTTCCTTTCCCTTTAAAATATTCTTCTTCATAACTTCTCTAAAACTAAAAATAAAAGACTTCCAAGAGGTCTCCTTTAGCCGCAAACTGATACTAAGCAAATCTTCCACTTTTTGCCAGCTATTTGCAACTGCACAATTGAAAAAAATGTGCTCCAAATTTTCCTCAATATGTAAACACAAAACGCAAGACAAATATTTCGGTGAAAAGAGGATTCCTCTTCTAACTAATTTGTCCTTAGTCGCGATAATGTTGAGAAAGATCCTCCAACCAATCGCTCTAATCCTGTACGGCGTTTGAGATTTATGAATATTATCAAAAGATGCCAATTTTCCATCCCCGCGCCCCTCTAGAAAGTATGCACAAAACAAGTCATACCCAGAACAGACAGAACATCCCTATATTGGATCAAGAATCTAAACTTTTTATCATCCCCACTAAGATTAGGAACACACTCTACCAACAAAACTCTTAGGTACTACAGTCTACCAGTTATGTCCACGTCCCTAACATCCCCACTGTCGAAATCCCCCTCCCCCATTTGCCACTAATTCAATCTCCCATTCGATTCACCATCTCTTCCTTTTTAAGCTCAATAGATATAAATTGAGAAACCGTGACCTCAAGTTGCAATACCAAACCAGATTCCATTCTAAAATGGCGTTGAGAAACCTTTTCTCACATTAAAATTAACATTCCCTGCATAATTAAAACCTGCCACAACATTTCTCTTATAAATATTAATTAATTCCTTCAACTAAATCGATACCGGAATCTTGAAACTTCTGCTCTCTCCAGTCAAGATTTAATGGATAATGTTTCCGTATCTCGCTCTTAACAAGTTTGTCAAAATATTTCCTTTTTCCACTAAGATCCCCAATTTCCAATTAGCTAACAAAGCTAAATTAAAATCTTCTATTCTCTTGACCCCTAAGACCTCCTAAACCAAGCAGTTTTCACACTTGGTTCCACCCAAACCAATGAATTTCCCTTCTTTCATCCGCGACACCCCATAATAACCTTTGTTGAATTTGTTCTATATTCTTCCATATCTTCATTGGTGCCTTGTAGAAAGAAAACCAGAAAATGAACATACTACATAAAATTAACTTAGGTAAAGTGATTCTCCCTTTGAAAGATAGAAATTTCCCTTTCCACTTTGCCAGTCTAGAATTAAATTTAACCTGAAGGGGTTCCCTCATTATGATTCTCCTCTGGTATACCCCTAAAAGAATTCCATGGAAAGTAAAATTCTTACTTTCAACCCTACATGAAAGAAAAGAAGTTGTTGCATTCACGAAGTGGTTGCTCAAGTTAATGCCAGTCACTTTACGTTTTTTGAAATTGACTTCGAGTTTAAAAACCAACTAAAAACCTCTCAACATGGATTTTATTGCCCACACATTAGAACAACTACCTTCTCCGATGATAAGAGTGTCAAATGCAAACTATGACATATCGAATTTTCTCCTACCATTGATCCAAAAGCATCAAAATTAGCCAATGTCGATCATATTCCTCATAAATCTAGAAATTATCAAACTAAACACACATTTAATTCTAATAGCTAGAAATTTCATCATTATCTTATAAAGACATCATACTAAGAATATGGGTCGGTATTCGTTGAGCCCTTGGGGATTGTTGATTTTCGGGATAAGAGTTAAAAAAAGAGGAAACAATAGATTTAGCAAGCATATACTTACTATAAAATTCCTTAAAGAACCTCATCTCGTCGTCCTTCATGAAATGCCAACACTTCTTGATAAAAAATAAATTGTATCCATCCGGATCCGGGCTCTTCGACCCATCGCACTCCCAAACTTGCTCCTTAATATATTTATAAGAAAAACTTCTTCCACCATACTTTTCTCGCTATCTACCAAAACACTAAAGGAAATCCCTACAAGAGGTGGTTTATTCATATCAGATTTTAAGAACTTCTCATGAAAATGTCAGCTAACATCTTCCTTTACTTCACCTACAGATTCCAACACTCATTTGTCTAAGCTAATAGAACCTAGGAAATTCCTCCTAATTATCCCCTTAATCACTTTGTGTATCATCCACAGACGGATGGTCAGACGGAGAGGACTATTTAGTCGTTGGAGGATTTGTTGAGAGCTTTTGTTCTTGAATAAGGAGGTACTTGGGATAGTTATATTCACTTGATAGAGTTCACTATGACAAAATTGACTTTAGACAGCGCCACATAGACAACGCTTATGCCTAAAGTGCTGCTATAGGTTTTCAGAAAAATTAATAATTAAAAATTAAAGGAGAAGCGCTGCTAAAGGTATACTATAGACAACGCTTATTATAAGCGCTGCTATAGGCCTTACCATAGACAACACTTTCTTTCTCTAAGCGCTGCTATAGGTTTTCAGTAAAAAAAATTAAAAAATTAGAATAAGTGCTGCTAAAGGTTATACTTTAGACATCGCGTACGAAAAGCGCTGCTAAAGGTGTTATTCTAGGAAGCGTTGTTAAAGCCTAAAGCGCTGCTAAAGGATATACCTTAGACAGCGCTTTCCAGAAGCGCTGCTAAAGGATATACCTTAGACAGCGCTTTCCAGAAGCGCTGCTAAAGGGTATACCATAGACAACGTTTTCCAGAAGCGCTGCTAAAGGCATTACTCTAAAAGTGCTGCTAAAGCCTAAAGCGCTGCTAAAGGTAATACCT